TGTATATATAAAAAATGAATATACTACTAGTGGTAGCTCTGTGATGCTTCTGTATTCCTCTGGGCATAGAGTTCAGTCTATTTAGGCCAAGCCTGCAATTTTCTCCGTTCTCCCTGAGCAGGTAACACCACTGCAGCCATTCTGTCTTACTGTATCTTTCAGGCAGCACAGGAACAGAAATCAGCAGACATGTAACAGGGTATGTTGTGCTGGGAAAAAACATGAGCAATAGGAAGCAAGGCATAAAAGTGACAAAGCCAGAAGGGACAGTGTAAAACAAACAGAGGATTGCTTTCCAACTGTTTTCCTTCTTTCAGGCAGGTGGTAATTACAGGGCACCTCTGATGTTCTTGGATGAAGGGGAATTTGGGAAGATGTGGGAGGGAGTGAATCACGAGAGAGATGTTTTTAGAAAAACGCTTCCCAAAGCAAAGATAAGAAAGAGGAGTACTGAGGGAGGAGGAGGGGGAGGAGGAGAGCAGCCCTCTCCCCTCTTTTTAATCAATGTTTGCTCCACAAAAGGCAGCAAGTGTCCAGCAGTCTCTCCCAGTCTTGTGACAGTGACTCCATCGTTGGGGAACCGACTTCCTCCAGTTGGGGCAGGTACCGAGTGATGCCACCGTGAGTGAGACAGCACAGCAAGGGCACAGTCTACAGCTGTTTACACTTCGTACGCCCTCTTCTTGGACCTCACAACATGACGAACTCATGGGGCATTTAACAGGAAAAGATCCCAGTCAGTAGAGGGTGAACTGGGCACACTGGGGAGGAGCACAGGGCAGGGCAGAATTCAGCCCAGTAACAATAACCTTTCTACAAAGGAGTTCTGCCTCATAAGCATTGCTAGTTCATAGAATACTCAAGTCTACTCTGCATCTTCCGTGTTACATCTTCTGCCGTGGGAAAGAGGAAGACAAAACCATGAAAAATAGCACTTATCTTTCACTGCTGAATAGGTGTCTGTAATCGAAAGTAAAGCTTCAAACATAAAAGCAATCATATGAAACTTAGAGTTCCTAAAGCTGGATTTTCACAAACATTTCCAGGCACATTGCAAGGTATTAAACAACCAACTATTTACCCGGAACTGGGATGGCGTTTCCAGTGTATTAAAATCTGAGGAAGAAGATATTCCATCTTCCAGGGTCTCCAAAAACACCTTCTGGAAATCCAGCATTTCTGGCAGACTGCCGAACAAGGACTCCATCTGTGAAAACATCAGGCTATGAAGTACAGCACTCCGTGCACCTAACAGTGGTCTTGTGAAAACAGACCACTAAGGAAATGGGACGCACAAAGAGGTTGTAAAGGCCAATAATGTCTTCGTTAATACTCTTCAAATGGGTTTTATAAAAAAATCCTCCTAAAAAAGCAAAGATTTCTTAGCAGTTAAGTCAGAAGAACAATTACCCTTTAAAAAAAGAAGTGACGCACGCACCAGACAAAAAGGCACTGGCTGGTGTAATTCCTATTGTTATCTTTGTTGTTTGCTTTTTCTGTCATGCTCTCAGCAATGAAAAACCCAAATGCCAAGGTCTTAACCCGTAAAACAATGAAAAGCACATCTTTCAGTTATTCCCTCACCTCATCCTGGGTAAGGAAGGTTTCATTTTGAAGGGGCTCCAAGTACAGCTCGAAGAGGCAGCTCAAGTCCTGCAAGAAAAAGAATTCATTCACTTTTTATGTAACAGTTTGAAATTGTTCTTTATGCGACAACTGTGGGATAATTTTCGGAAATGAACTGGAGATACAATTCCTTTTCTATAACAAAATCACCTGTGTGTTGTTAGCACTAAAGTGATTGCTAAATTAGACGCAAATTGATTTCAGTGTAACGTTTTTGTTTCATCCTTAAGGCTTTACAGCTTGATTATAACAAATTATATTTTAGCATAGCATAAGGAGAAAATGTTACAGATGATGGCTTTCTAAAGAGTCCATGTATATGAACAGCATCAAATGTTTTAATCATGTATGTTAGATAAACCATATAAATAGCCACTCATTTAAGCATCAGTAGCAATATTCAGAAGGACACGTAACATTTTAAAATCTATTAGTTATTAAAGTGCTCAGTTATGTTGTCAGGGGGAAAGTGATCAAGGGCTTTTTCAGTCACTTCTTCAAATAATTGGTGCCACTTTTGAAGACTTACTATCCCACACCAAAGCATGATGACAGGGCTGGGGCCCACTGCAGGGCTCTCCGACCCTGAGAAGAGAAACAGCAGAAATTCTTATGGAGAAGGAATAACGAGCATCTCCCTCAGAACGCCGTAACGAGCATGTGCACCTGGTGCAAAATTTCACGCATGTCAGTGACCTCCATGGTCGTGCCTTTGTTAAAGCGATTCCTCTACAAGAAACATCAGCTGGACATACATAGGGGCCCATGTTCTGTAAAGCTTCCTCAAGCTATACAGCGTATGGCTGTATTAGTGTATTGGTGGATGTACTAACAACAACAGACTGAAAGCGTTTTCTCTTCTTTTCCATATACATTATTGCAGCAAGTACCGATATCTGTAAGTATGTGTTTTGAGATCCAGTAAAGTAGATGATTTCTCCTTGCTGAATGTCAGAGAAATCAATGTTTTCATGTTTCTTTTGGCATCCAGTCACATGAATTTGGGGTTTATAAAAAGAAAAGATATACATCTAACAAATTACGGACTTATCAGTCAGAGGAGAAATAACATATGTGTGATGCTACAACCAACTGGAGTTGTGCCTTTTAGCTGTGCTGATTCAAAAATAATTATGCACTATTTTCCACAATTAAACTTTTTTTCTGATTTGTAGGAGACTCAATTCTGTTCTTCTACCAGATTTATTTTCATCTTGAAAACTAGGGAAACATCCCCTGGAAAACCCCTATGTTAACATATTGCAGGTATCTACTCCCCACAAATTACCACTCTCCAATATAAATACAAATTGACTAGAACTAAAGCTACTAGATCAAATCCTACAGCTTCTATTACAGGAGCAAGCCCATTGAAAACAACAGGAACAATTAGATAAGCGGACTTTGTAGGTTATGGCACTTGTAGAGGGCTGGTTATATAAAGGTAAGCATGAAATATGTTAAGACCAGCCACAAATCATGGTCAGCCTCAAAAACAAGGCTGTAGCTAGCCAGATTTTTTTTTTTTTTTTTACCTTGACATAAGATTTCTCAGTGTCCATAAGTTCTTGGATGACTTTCCTCAATCTATCTGCGTCAGAAAGGTGGCGAGCCAGTGGCCGTGGAGGTGGATCCTGGTTGTCCTTCTGTCCTTCCATACCGCTTGCTTGGACGTCTTGGAAGTTTCGGCACAACGCACTGATCTGTTCTGCGCTCTGTTAAATGAGAAGAAAGAGACAAGCGCCGATGTTTTAGAATACAAGCTGTACTACAATTATTTTTAAATTCCTCAAATCTTGCTCTTGTTCCAAATTCGGGGGCCAGAGCATGCCATTGATTTTTGTCAAATACGTGTCCTGATGGCTTTGAACAGCTTGAATTTATAGCAGATCCAGATCACAGCAGTAAAAGGAAATGAGAATTTTCTAGTGATTTTCCAGTGCAAATTATTTTCAGACTTCAGTTACAAGCTCGTGGGATGAAAAAGATGAGAGCACTCAGATATATCATATACTTTGATTCTTATGATGCTAGCATCACACTGTTTTCCATCTATCTTATTTTGCAACACTCACTGCATCAAAATAGAAAGAATTAGTAGATAAAGGTCTTTTAAGCATCCAGAATAACTGTTTTATTTGTCATCTGCTACCTATACTGTGTTGTGTGTTTTTTTCAAACGATGAGACATGGAGCTGAGGCTTCAGATTCCAATGTCCTGGGTTGTCAAAAGATGTTTAGATGCTTTCTCTCCAAGGAGACAACTATGTATCAAGATTTTTTGCTTTCAAAAATGGTGAATGGAAACCTAAATCTTTGAGAGTCTTTAGAAGAATGATAAAGATGGAAAAAACCCAGAAAATTTTCAAGCAAGGTAGGAATGGGAGACAGAACAACAACAGTTAATCTTATAAAGCAAAGATGGAAAAGAAAGAGATTTTTCTGACTCTATGAAATGGCGGTGCAGTTCGCTCTTGCATGACTACCACTAATATCCAAGAGCAACTTTTGCAGGCAATAATCTTTAATGCTTTTGAAAATTACTCCACTGTTCTCTTTCTTATATGATGTTTTCCCAAAAGCTAGAATATCGCTATCATTACCCAATTCTACCTTAACAGCTGTCAGTATCCACCTCTTTGTACTATGTGAAACAATTCTTCTTCAGTGCTTCTGTCTTTCAGACACTCTCTAAGATACTGGACAGTTGCATATGCTGTGCCGTATCTTCTACGTAGTGAATGCGTTCAAATGAGGACTACATGAATGCTACCTTATCAAGTGGAAGTCTTGTTTCAGTGATCTTGTTTCAGTGAAGAAATCAGAACATGAGTGCATTTCAGAACTGTCTTAATCGGTACTAATTTATTCCACATGCTGTTTCAAATGGTCCTCTTTGGATCTCCTGATTCACCACTGATTATCTGTGTAGCTAGGTTCACCAACATACTAGGTCATGAAATGAACAAAAGCAAAAGTTATTCTGAAACTGAACTGAGCTATACAAAGCCTTCTGTAAGGTGGAGGCTAAATGCACTAGCAATATTAAATCTCAATTATTCATGTGACAAAACATAGGTACATCCCTCACACCTGTATGATAGAAATAAGTGTTAAAATGTCAAGTATTTGCCAAGTAGTCCGTATTACTCTGTAGCTTCCCAGCCCCCAGTTTTGAACAATGCCACCACTCTAAAAAAAATTAAGTTACTTTCCTCACTAATATGTGCAACCATCTTCACAATCCTGTATAATGACAGCTTGCAGGACTATGAAATTTAGATACATTTTGTATTTACAACATTTATTAGGACCCAACAAAATGCAATGTAAGTTGAATGGTGTTTGTTAGAATTACAGCTACAGACTGATGGAATACATTTAAAAATCCCAGTCACTCTGTGCCACTAAAATTAATTAGTGTTTTGGAAATAAATCACAACTTAATTTAGGAAATGGGAGGGGGGTGTATTTTAAAGCAACTTCTAAATAGCTGAATGCCAAAGTACTTGAGTTTTGTTTTCTTTGTTTCTGATGTCAGAAAGTTTTGTATTTGTATCAGAATGACTCAGATTTTACGCTCTCTACAGCTCAAGGTGCGGGTGGGCAGCTTGATTTACATCAACCTGATGCCTGATCAAGGACACTAGATCAAGGGTATGAGACAGCCTACTGAAAGCAAGTCATAAACATCATCAGGCACAGTTTTACAAGGAGGAGTTAGAAGTCCTCTATCTACCCCTCCTCAATCACTTTCACACGTAGGGCAGGCAGACATTGGAGAACATGCTATGTTCTCCATCCCCTTCAGTTTTGGGGCCAGAGCTGCATCTGCCACCAAGAACCACTGGATAAGAAAGCATATGGAAATAGATGATACTCCTAAATATAAATACTATCTGAGCACCTAAGCAATATAATTTTGGTGTCAGAAATTGTTCTGCATAACTGGCCTAAGCCCAAGGCACAGGATTACCTCTCAGCCATACCGCAAACAAGTAATGATTTTTATAAACTTTAGTATGTTCCTGAACATGTAAGCACTTTGTGTTTGCAAGTCTGGCATTAACAATATTGCCCTTGTCCTGCAGTGCTGCTCATAGGCTCTTGTCCTTTCCTGTAGTCTGGCTGCTCTCTGTCCTTCCCTTTAGGGGAGGCTTCTAGACTTGCAATATCCAGACCTCATTCTCACTCTTTGTACCCACTATGGTATTTACATTTGGGTCAAAGCAAGCATGAAATGCTACTTGATGACAGGACAGAAGTATTTCACATTCACTCCTACACATTGCATGGACCGTAGAAGATGCAGGAACCCATTTTGCCAGTGAAACCACAAAGTGTACCTTAGGTTCTCGACCAAGAGCCCAGTATTCATGATAAACTTCGTAATAACAAATAAGTAGAGAGGAATAAAAACTATTCTTGCTTCACATTTCTTCCCAAAACTCCCTTACCACCCAGGTCAGGATCTCCACCTTTTTTCCACACTGCTCTGGATGCTACTTTCTGCCTCCCACGCTAAACAATGTCTTTCATTATTTGTGCTGTTTAAAACAGATCTTTTCTAGAAAGGCTCTAGTGACAACCCCTAAGAACATCTCTTTTATATCTTTTATGTGTGGGCAGGCAAGGCCCAGCCTCTGCCCTGTTACTGACTGCAGCTGGGATTTCAAAGCCACCTGGGCATTCTGGACGTCAAAGCGGAGTTTGGCAGTCCAGCGCCCTTAAGCCAAGAAGTCTCAAAAGGAGCCCCAAGTTGATACTACATAAACCCGCTGTAATCTTGAATTAAGGTGGGAATTAAACCTGAATTTGCTCTGACAATGACACTGCAACAGCTAACACAGACAGATTTGACTCTCAGATACAGCTGGTAAACTCCTCAAGCACACAGTTTCTTTGATTTGCACAAGGCCAAGACTGTCTGTACTTAGTAAATGGTAAAAAAATTATTTATGCCAACCTTTATAGTGTGCAGCTCATCAGAATAGAAACATTTAAATTGGTGAAAAGCCCAGACAACTGACTGTGGACAAGGCTACAAGGTAGCTGGGTGCAGAGAAAAGCTGAGGAGAGCATACAGTGGAAGCAACAAACTTTCTCCAAAATCCATCACTTGAGCTTATGTATGCCAGTTTCAGCAACATTTACAGGAGATTGCAAGCAGCTTCAGCTTACCTTTGGCACTGAACAGCAGTCAGATGAGGCTAAAAATCCAAAAATTTAGACTAACAGTGCTAGAGTTGGGAAAGACAACCGGATCCTATGCAGGGTTTATAGAAAAAACAGATACTTGCATTTCAGGGAGAATGAAGTTAAGCAGCACTGTACTGTTTTACCAGCCATTTTCACAGATTTTCCAACAAAGCTGTATAAACCCTTCTACAGGCCTAGCAGTCAGGGAAGCAGCCTCCTGCCCCATACTCTCTTGGCTTCTGAGAAAACAGAAGGATGTGTAGAAGCAGCCTTAAGAAACTTGTTTTTCATCCCTGCATGTTTGCGACTCATAGTTAGGTCCTGCATCCTTTTGCACAGAGTATTCCCTGTGAATGAGGATTGCTCACAGTAACCTTAGAAAGGACAGCTCCAGTCCACATAATCATCAGCTTGACCCATAGGTGTCAACCACCACAGTGGTGCTCAGCTTGTCAGGTGGAGATGAAGCACGTCCCATTTTCATAATACTCATGATAAGAAATATTAGAGATTATTCCTTTAAAGTGGACAAAAGATACTCTTACAAGGAACCTCTTACAGATTTTCTTTGCTCCTTGCAGACAAGCATATCATCATCTGAGGCTGTACTACCCCCACCAGAGTTAAAAATCTCCATAAAATTAATTGGTGAGAGAGCAGAAGACATTAATCAGCAGTGGTTAAGCATTAGCACAACAATTTCATGGCTACCCTGTGACTTTCTACTGAATGATACTGATAGAGCATAAATGCTGCACAAGGTCAATTAGTGTTACGGTGTCTCTGCTCATTGCTGTTTATTTTACCCTCATTTATACACCTCAGGTGCTCCGTCAGTTGGTTGAAAAAGTGAGGGAAAGGAATATTTTGAGTAGGCTTAGCCTAAGAAAGACTCCTTGGCGGGGGATAAAACTGTGCATGTCCTTTCAGATTCCTGTACCCTTGTGCGGGACACTGACCACATGGAGATCACCAATCCTTTGAATTCCTTATCCAAAGAGGAAGCATGCCCAGAAGACATGCTGCAGAAACAGATTAGTCTTCTACCCTGTAAAAATGAACAGCTAACAGCTCTGCTCTGCCTGATGTATGTATTTCCAGGAAATAAGGCTGAATGCACCAGTCAGCAGAATACATACAATTATATGGGATTTTGAGAAATGAACAACTGGCCAGAGAACTTTTTACATCCCTCACTCTATGAAAACAGGAAAGCTTTTTAAGATGTCATTCACTTTTCCTTTGTGCTAGAAGAGATCTCTCTCCAGATCGAAGGCAGCCCTAACAGCTGTCATTTTTTTGTGGGTCCATCACTCTACAGACTTCTCTGTCATCCTCAGACTGGGAAGTACTTTGTAAGCAAGCAATGTAAAAGGCTAGAAAGTTCTTTGCTTCGTTAAAGACCACTGAAAAAATTTTCTGTATGTTACACACCAGTACAGTATGTGCACTCCTCTAAATTGTTTATTAAGACTGAAAAATGTCAACAGAGTTTTACTGAAAACTGCCTTGTGAG